CTTCTTCTTAATTCATATTAGTCATAGTATCTAATATCTAGCCTAATAAATTCGAGGCATGACTGCCTAATGATTTTTTTTTAAAAAAAAAAGTTTGCCTTTGATTAATTTATTTTTATTTGAACTAGTGTCTTTTTTGTGGTACGGGTAAAAGGTTAAATGTTAAACAGGTAAATTTAGCAAATTATTGACAAATATCATTTTAAATAAACATATTTTAAACTTGTTGAGTGATCATGCTGGTCCTGTGCTGTGTCACATGCTGCGCAGCTATCCTTATTAATTAATGCACATATGAATTCTGTGCCAGGTTATGTCGATCATTGCCAATAAGGTGAAGTTCGGATACATTCCTATGCATAGCTCGGTTAGAACTTTTTCTAACTTGTATATTACGTGCAGATTCTGTGGCACAAATAAATTCGAAGGTTTTTTAAAACTTTATGCGATTAATTTTCAATAACTACTGTATCAAATTTGGTAAATTTTTTTTTATTTCAATTATACGCTTTTGTAGAACAAAAATAAATATAACTCCATTGAATTTGATTCAGTGGTTATCAAGAAATTATCGCTAAAAGTTAAAAAAAAATTAAAATACCTTGAAAAATTAGAATCAGATAAACTTTTCATTCTTTGAACTTTAAACTAAGATTTCTCAACAACCAACTATTAGAATTTGATGAATTTTTTTTTATTTTAATACTATAAATTCATAGAATTAAAATAAAAAAATTGATCAAATTTAAATAGCATATTGTTGAGAAATATTCATTAAAGTTTAAAAAAAAATTGGCTGCAGCTTATTTTTTTAAAGTTATTTAAACTTTGAACGAAGATTACTCATCATTCACCAGGTTGAATTCAATTAATTTTTTTTTATTTTAATTCTATGAGCTCATAGAATTAAAATAAACAAATTTTGATCAAATTTGACCAGATAAGTGCCGAGTAAAGTTTAGGCACCTATAAAAAAGGCTGCAGCCAAATTTTAATATTTCCAGGTTATATTGATCATTTGTCATATGATATTATTCAGGTATATAAAATATGTACATACATATTTATGAACCATGTCATATAAATTCGATCCAATTAATTTATAATTAATATATGAGCCTATCATATGTCAAAAATTAGAGTTTCTAAATTCCATTTTTATTATTACAATATATTACGGCATATTTATTTGTTTGAAGAAATAGTTTATATTATATGCATAAAGTTTAAATTTTCTTTCAAAATTTATATTATATTCTGTACATGCGAGTTGTTGGTTTTTTAAATTTAAAAAATATCAGGTCACTACATAAGAAAGGCCTGTATCTGCATGAAGGCTGAGTGCCATCCTTTTATTATTTTGCTTCTATTAAATCAAATGGTGCAGCAAAACTTAAAAAGCTGTGTTATATTATTACCAGGAGTAGGAAAAGTCTTGCTATTATATTTTTAGGTTTGTTACTTAAATGTCTAGAATAAATGGATTGTTCGATTGTTCAAATATTACTATTACTCATAAATATTTATCTATTATTGATGCCATTTGGTGTATTTTGAATTTTTAAAAATTTCAATACGTAGAATTATTAAATATTTGATTTAGCTTATATATATATATATAAACACAATCGTTGAAGTTTTTCACTCTGTAAGATGCTTTATTATATTATTATTACGTATTGTTATATATTATTATTTTATTATTCTATCTTGAGAAATAGTGATATATTTATTAGCTTTTATCGTAATAAGTATGCTTTTTTTTTTCTTTTGAGCAATAGCAATAGGTTTATTAAGTTAATATGATATGCATTTAAGCTTTAACATAATTGGCATTATGCCATGATGCTTTTAATATTAAATCACAATTATGTATAAGCTTCTGAAACAAATTAATAAAGATTACGACATTATTACTTAAACCTAAATATGACGAAATGTTTTAAACTCAGATACTTTTTTGACAAAAATATGATGAAAATATGATGAAATTGTTGTGTATAAAATAAAAATTAAACCTTTCTTATTTTGTTCTTTTTACTTTTTTTCATTCTTTTTCTTCTCAAAAGAAATTTACTTTTCTTTTAAAAACACATACAAAATTAGTTCTAGTGCTGATATTGAAGTAGTTCTGACATATAAAACCCAAGAAAATTAATTAGCATTCATGTAGTAAAAATTGATACAACTATTTTTACAAATATTTTCCTTTTTTATAGGAAGGTTAGTAAATTCTAGTAAAATTGAAAAACAAATTATTTCGTCCAACAATATCAACTATTTAATTGACAAAGTAAAAGAAAATAACATTAGAATTAAACTTGAAAGAACTTATCCTAGTGGATATTCTAAAAGTTTATCAATCTGAGACAAAAGTGGTGAAACAGTAAAAGAGTAAAAAACTTAAGCTGCTTTCTAAATACTCATACCTTTATACTTACTATGAATCTAAATAATATTATAAATTCATTGGTTAGTAATGAATTACTTTATAATAAGAGTTTAGAATCATATCTTAATCAAAACGAAACATGCAGCAATATAATAGAATCACAATTCAGTAATAAATCTTTATATGATAAGAGCTTAAAAGCATCATTTAGTAATGAATCTTTATATAATAAGAGCTTAGAAGCATCGTTCAGTAATGAATCTTTATATAATAAAAGCTTAGAAGCATTATTTAGTAATGAATCTTTATATAATAAGAGCTTAGAAGCATCGTTCAGTAATGAATCTTTATATAATAAGAGCTTAGAAGTATCGTTTAGTAATGAATTTTTATATAATAATAGCTTAGAAGCATCATTCTATAATGAACCTTTATATAATGAAAGCTTAGAATCATCATTTAATAATGAATCTTCATATTATGAGAGCTTAGAAATATTATTTAGTAATGAACCTTTATATAATAAAGACTTGAAATTAGCATTTAGCTATAAACCTTTATATAACGAAGACTTGGAACCACATTTAGCCATGAACCTTTATATAATAAAGACTTGGAATCAGCATTTAGCTATGAACCTTTATATAATGAAGACTTGGAATCAGTATTTAGCCATGAACCTTTATATAACAAAGACTTAGAATCAGCATTTAGCTATACCTTTGAATAATGAGATCTTAGAATCATTACTTAGTCCAAATGAAACAAGTATTATATTGCCTGAATATATAATGAATATACTTCCATTAAATTATAATTATTTTGTAATTAAATTTCTCAAATTTTCTGATTATATTACTGATGAAGGTTTTCTGTAAATCAATTTGAAATAGATCTTATAGCAAATATTAATAGTATCGGAGGTGCAAAAAAATAGATTGTTGATTTTGAAGAAATATCTAAAACAACAATGTCTCAAAGGATATATAATTCAAGGAAAAAAAGTTATTTTTAGGCAATTAAGACATTGTATTTATAGTGACATAGTGCGACAAAAGCAAAGAAATCCTACATTAAAAAAACCTAATTCATTACGCATTAGAAACACTGAATATAAAGCAACTATTCATATTCGACTTAAAAGATGGTGTCTTCAAACTGACTATTCACTTGAAATAAATATTAAATATTTACATAATCATGTTGTTTATTCAGCAAAAACTCTTAGCTTTAGATATGTAAAAGATGAAGTTCGTGATAAATATATTGAGCTTTTTGAAAACAGACACTCACCTGCCAGTGCTTTATATACATATGAAGACAGTCTTCATCTAAATACAAATAATGATTAAGAGCTTATACAATTGCTGGCTGATCGTGTATTAAATCCCAATCATGGCTATGTTTCAAATTTGTTCAAACAATTTTGCTATAATTGTGTTGGAGAAAAAAATGAAGTGTCTATGTTTCAATAGCTTAAAGACAAAGTTATAGTTCTGGAAAAGGCCATGCTGTTCTTCAAGAGTATGATTCACATTCAACGAAGGCCTTTATTCTTTGTATAGTTACAAATATGATGGTTCATATTCATAAAAAGATTCAACAAATCAGATGAAATTTGCTATGTTGATGCTTCAGCACCATTTGAACTATTGAATACATTAATTACATTGTTTTATACAAGCTGTATTGCCAGAGCATTGCCTCTTGGTATTCTTGTAACATTAGATAAGTTGCAAACAACTCTTGAAATTGGAATGAATATGTTAAAATCAATTCTTCTACCTTATGCATTTTTTGGGCATGGACCTAGTGTTGGTCCAATAACCTTTCTCACTAATGATTCAAATCATGAACATAATACATTAGAGCATTGTTGGCAATGTTCAAAATGATTATTATGTATATTTCATATTCTCCAGGCATTTTGGCACTGGTTATATAACTCAAAACATAGCATAGATAAAGTTCATAAAATACCTATAATGGATATTATGAAAAATATATTGTATATGCCAACAGAAGCCAAAATGTTAGAAAGTTATAATGAACTAAAAACTAATTATTATCATATATATCTTAAATTGCATAGACACTTCGAATTACTTTGAAAGCAATGGCTGTTCTGGGCAGTATTGTTTCGATCTGGACTTCCTATAAGAGGTAATAATACCAATAATTATGTAGAGCGCAGCTTTGGGCTATTGAAAGATATTATCTTTGCACGCACTCAGGCATATAATAGCGTTCAAGTATTTCAATTCATTATTACAAACATGGAATACTATTATGAATGTTAACTGCTAGGAATAGCTTATTGTCATCCTGATCATATTTGAGTTGCCAGAAGATTTTTATGCCTAGGTTGGGAGATGATTGATACTACAAAAATTCAACAAACTAAAATTAGTATAGAATATTTAGTTTTTTTTTTTTTTTTTTTTAATATTAAAGGTGAGACCATGCTCTTATCTTTATTGAACTTAATGAAAACTTTTTACATAATTGGAAAGGTTTTATATCTTAAGTCTAGTGCTAAGAATAAGAACTCAGACTAACTAAAAAAGTCAAAT